TTCCATGATTTTGGTCCAAGCTGAAACAAGTTAAAGGGTTTTAAATTTGAAAATTACATGTTTTTTCAAAATGCATGTATAAGTTTTGCTAATTTTGAAAAGATGAAATAATGTCATGTGAGAGTGCAGTCTAGTTAGAATGTTTTGTTAATTGTGTTATTACAAGAAATTAAGACTTGTTTTTGTGTACTGGGTTTGGGATGTCATGTGTGCTGTTAAGTTATCTACAAGAGACTATTGTTAGTAGCTAGGAAATGTCCTCCTCCTCCTCTAGCGGTCAGAACCTGTGATGAACCAGCGGTGATGCTGTTAGGGACTGGACCAGGTCCGGAAATTCAGTTTGATCCTTTGATCAGCCCGAATGGGCCCAAACATATTACTCGATCCCTGTTCACCCATTTGGGACCAAACTGGGCGGTTCCAGCCCCATACCGTTTTTTTATACTTGGAAATGGGTGAAAATGGAGAAAAAATGACCGGGTCCGGACCGGGACCTGGACTGGACTGCCCATGTGCTGATGTGCACAGAACCAGCCTCACACCCGGAATCAACATGCTCGGACTTGGCCTTTGCGGCTTTGCCTACCAATGACTGGGACTGGGACCGCCCCTATTCATACGACATATCTTAAGTTGCTTATAATCCTTATATACTACCCGTTCTTAATTTTTTAAAAACATTGTTAAATTCCTCCCTTTTAAAATTTTCACAATTTGATTTGTTAATAGTTTTATTAATAATGAATGAAATATATCAATGTTTTAAAAAAATGACATGTATATTATTACTACGGGAAAAAATATGATTAACTATGTTTTTCGACAAAAATATGACTACTCACTATGTACGACTCACTATGAACTAGTCATTATAGTGTATTTCGGAATGACAGGTCACTATAGATAACGAGTCACTGTGAACTAGTCACTAAATATGCCAATACAATAATTATTATTGTATAATTATTTATTGTAAATATTTATTGCTCATAAAACTGGTTTGTGCTCATAAAACTGGTTTGTGCACAATTATATGCACTTGGATGATATTTACATCAATATTCTTAATGTATTATTAGCTATTTTCCACACAATAATTGGTTGACATAGAATATAATTATTCTGACAATTTTTAAAATATATGTATTATATGATATGTAAAATTTCATTAACTATTTACAAAACTCTCATAACACTATTGCATATAACATTTTTTTTTTACAAAAGACAACATTATTTTAATATTGGGCAAACATTCTCGCGCCTTGCGCGAGTAATCGCTAGTTCTAATAAAAAAGCTAAAAAATTCTTTGATAAGCAATGACAATCGGCAAATGCTTTGATAAGGGAGTGTTTGCAAATGCTTTTGCTTTCTAAAAAAGCACCTTTTGAAGTGATTTTGAAAAAAGTGATTAATAGTAAAAGTTGGTAGTGTTTGAGAAAAAATTGATTTTGAAAAGTAATAGTGAGGTAATAGAAAAGGTATCATTTAAAAGGTAATAGTGAGGTAATAGAAAAGTAATAGTGAGGTAATAGAAAAAGGTATCATTGATTTTAAAAGGTAACATTTACCTTTTAAGTGTTTAATTTAATCGGAAGTTATCACTTGAAAACACTATTTTCAGCTTTTTAAGCTAAACAACCTAAAAGCTTAAAATCATTGTTTTTTTAGGCTAAAGGATCAAATAGATCCTGGTGTCAAATTATACCGTGGGATCGGCCCACCATGCGCATGGTGTGCCGATCCCAAAATGGTGTAGTTTTATACGAAGTACGAGTATGATGAGCTCGAACGAAGGTCCGTCTCTGTAAACTCCGAATATGGCACACTTGCTCCTGAACATTCTACTCAAAGAACTCCCGTCTCCATTAATGAAGGAAGAACCTCTGAATTTCTGAAGCTATTGAAAGAAACTCTTAATTTCCGAAGAACCTCCATAGATTTTCTCACGTTTTTTGTGGCTTGAAATCAATCATGCTCTGCCTCTAGTGATCTCTGCGTAGGGAAGGGAATCGGCTCCCTTCAACTCTGAGATTGAGAAGGCAAAACATAAGAAAATGTAAGACTTTGTGGAATTTCAACGGTATGAGTGCGCCCATAGTTTTCCCTCTCCAAGAGCTTCAGCTAAATGTTCAGACTTCTATAGAAATACCGATCTCTATTTGTTTATTCTTTAGCAATTTATAACACTTTTTTATTAATCTAAATAAAAAAAGTATATTGCATAGTATTTTTCTGTAATATTTTTTAATTATATTCATACACTTTATTTTGTAATGTTTTTTTGGCATATTCATATACTTTTAAGACATCGAGTTTGTTTACTGTGATTGTTAAAGTTACATTTGATAATAAGTGGAGTTACATCTTCTTGTGTGCGAGTTACATCTTTTTCTGCGCGAATTACATCTTCTTATGCGTGAGTTGATATTATATGAATTACATCCTCTTATACACAAGTTGCATTTTCTTATGCATGAGTTACATCTTTCTCTGCGCGTGTTACATTTGGATTTTCCTTAACAAGTTACATTTTGCATACACCTAAGTTAGATTTTTCATTAACACGAGTTACAATTTTCATAACACGAGTTACATCACAAACTAAACTCATTTTATTCAAATTAAAAAAAAACTGTTTTTAGTCGTTTTTTTTTGCAAAAAATGATTTCTTGGGGGAAAATATATTTTTTAAAACATTTTATGGTCTTAATATTAAAAACGAAACATATTCACTATTTAGGTAAAGTAGTTAAAAAATTTGACTCCTCTTTTTATTGTTTACATTAAATTCATTGTTTTAAACAAGTTACATTTCGACCTGCTTATAGTAACATTTCTTTTTAGCGTGAATTACATTTTTTTACACATGAGTTACATCATTCTGTTACTGGAACTATAAAAAAACTTGTTAGTGTACACGCATGTACTGTTCACGCATGATTTTTTTTAATTAAAGATGAGTTAAAACTGTGCCGTTTTGGGTGAGGAGCAGGATGCTCATCCTGGGACGATCCCACCTTATACGAACTGGGTCTTGGTACCTTTCCAGATTGCTCAATTTCCCCTTGAACCCAAAAAAGCTTCAATTAGCACACTGAACTCGATAAAAAGATTCAGTTGTCACCCGGTAGGGTGCCAACTGTGTATGTGATGTGGAAACTTAGGGGTCAAATAAGCCCTTAATCCGACTCAATAATTCTATTTACCCCTCCAACCCTTAAAACGTCAAAATTACGAAAAATAGAAAATAAAAATAGAATAAAAATAAGAAAAAAATAAAAATATAAATATTTTTATATTTTTGGGTAAATTCAAAATAAAGAAATAAAATATAAACTAAAAGAAATTAATTCTTATATATAATACGTAAAAAAGACTTCAATATATTTATAATAAATATTATAAATATGTAGTTACAAATTTTATATTTTAATTCTTATATATGAGTAATTTTTATGTTACTACAGATATAAAAAAGTGTAATCGGTAACATTGAAAAAAATAGTTACATAAGAATTGTATATTTATTTTTAGTATATTTTTAAGTAAATTAAGAAATATCAAATGAAAAATACAAATTGATAATTTAAACATAATTCTTCGTATAAATTGTCAAACCAAAAACCTAAAATTTGTGTTATATTACAAACCATTAGATATAATACTTAAAATAAAAATTTAAATATACTTGGTAAACATACATTGTTTATTTCTTATATGAAATATACGCAGTATTTATAAAATATGGAAATAAACTTAAAGTTTTTTTTAGTTTATATTTTACTTTTTATTTTGAATAAACTGTTAACAATAAATATTTCATATTAATATATATTATATTTTAGACATGTATTTTATTTATAATTTTATTTTATATTTATTATTTATTTATTTTATTTTTATTTTTTTTATTTTTAAAATTTGTCATTTTTTAGGGTTGAGGGGGTAAATTGAACGATTCGGTCGGGTTCAGGGGCTTACTTGACCCCCTAAGTTGCCACGTCACATGCACAGTTGGCACCCTACCGGGTGACGTGGCGATGACCGGCTTGTGACCTGCTAAAAGTAAAATTTGAATCTTTTTATTGAGTTCAGAGTGCTAATTGGAGTTCTTTTGGATTTAGGGGGCAAATTGAACAATCCGGAAAGGTACAAAAACCTATTTGGCTCTTTAGCCTTTTTTTTTAAATTTATTTTTTGCACACACACTCTAATAAAGGATAGGAAAAAGTACTCCGTAGTAAACACCCACAAGGCCACAACCAACAACTTTCTTATGATATCGAATCTGCCGATCTTAATGTTAGGGCCTAAAGTTTTGCATTATTTGGGCTAGTCATGGACTCGGGTCGGGGTGCCCGGCCCGCTACTGTGCGGGCCCGGCCCGGTCCTTCGGTTCTGGTACCGGGCTTCGACCCGACCCGACCCGGTGGGTTTAGCGGGAGCGGGCTTGGGTGTAGGAAATGGTGACCCGGCCCGGCCGGTCCCGGACTCGGTTCGGGTATTTTTTTTTCATTTTAAGGGCTTTTTCCCGAGTTGGGATGGGTGTTCCCGGACCTGGTGCTAACCCGGGCCGGTCCCGGGCCTTCATCCCAACCCTAAAAGGCTCGCCCGGGCCTAGGCCCGACCCGGACCTGACCCCCCCGAGTCCAACACTAATTTGGGCTAAGAGCATCTCCAATGCTAAAATGTTAACGGTGCATATGTGGCATGAGAAATAACCAATTAAAAAACAATAAATACAATATTTCTCTCCTTCTTTCCACGGTCTTACGTGTTTATGGTAAGTTTTTGCCTGCAATGTCAATCACAATGTCTACATCTAGACATTGTGCTTGACATTGTGAAGATAAACTTACCAAAATGATGTAAGATCCTTAAAATAAGGAGAGAGATATTGTATTTCTTGTTTTTTTAATTGGTTATTTCTTATGCCACATATGCACCGTCAACGTTTTAGCATTCGAGATGCTCTAAGGGTAGTTTGGATAGTCAAACACTGCCTGAAACTCTATCCGCCGCTGGCCCAATAGGTTCAACATACTCCTCAGTGAGCTCAAAATCCGGCGAACCGTTTAAACTGTATGACATTATAGAACCACTTCAGTGAGTTCAGAATCCTCAACAGTGTTCTCCAATGTCTGCGGCTTCACCACCAGCAGAAACCCTTACGGTTCCGATTGTGGCCCCGGAGGATTCATTGGACCGGCCCCATTCACCAGAAGTCCAACCTGAAATCGAACCGGAAAAGAGAAAACGGGAAGAAGAAGTAGAAGCTAACCTCCCCCAGAAGAACCCACTCTGGAAGACGACTCTTTGCTCATACTTCCGGAGGTCGAACGGCTCATGCAGCCACGGAGATTCATGCCGGTACGCCCACGGAGAGGCGGAGCTCCGACCCAGACCCGACAACTCATGGGACCCGACGTCCGAGCAGGTGAAGAAGATGGCTAGGATAGACGACGGAGAGGATTCCGACACATCTGATGATCATAATGAAGAGACAGGCATTGAGGTCATGATGACGGAAGCTTTCACAGAGGAGGAGGAAGGTTCTTCCTCGGATTCCAAGTTGGCGAAGTGCTTAGTGAATCTTCCTATGAAGTGGACTTCTGATAATTTGAAGAGTTTTCTCAACCAACATGTTAGTTTTTTCTTGACATTTTGAGCTTTTGTTCTGAAATGCTGCATGATTTTTGCACCATGGACATTAGTTCTCAGTTTAATTGACAGGAGTATCTCTACAAGTTTCCTATTTTCTGGGCGATATATGGAATACAACCTCTGTCCCCCTAATATTGGCATGGAAGGCGTGATTTTTAAGAAAAGTAGAATTATGTGGTTGATAATGAGCTGATAAAGTGAGTATAAAGTAAGAATGAAATAGAGCCACACAAATGTTACCAAATACGGTATGAGACAATAATAGAGTGACATCAAAAAATGAAAAAATGAGACAATTATAGGGGATGTAGGGTGTATATGTTTTGAAAGAATAAGCCCAGGAGTCGAGACAACATATAGGTATAAGTGTGTAGCTATATTAGAATTGGAGTATGAGTCTCACACAACAGGCTGATGATGAATGAAATAAACCCCTCACGCTGGCTGAGTTAGACATTCATACGATGTAGATGAGATAAAGAATTAAAGACATAAGTAAATTAGAATTTTAGCATTAGTCTAGATACTATAACCTGAGCCATAGGGTGACTATATACAACTCTAATATGATAAGAAAAAAGGCAGCCCAGTGTGCACATTGGCTTCCCCGCAATGAGAGGGTCCGGGGAATGGTCCCAACACAAGGTGGGTGTATAAAGAGTAAGTCTTCCCTTGTCACTTCGACAAGAGACCGCTCTCAAGACTTGAACTCGTGAGTCGTGACTTCTCACTTTCTCAGTCACACAACAACCAACAATACTGTAACCGGTGCACCAAGGCTCCCCTTCACAACTCTTATATGATAAAAAATGAAATAAAACCGATGTTAGTGCAATTGTCATGAACTGATATCAATTTATTAATATCTCCAGGGGGTACTCTTTAAGGCAGCCAAGAAGAAGAAAGGCATGGTTGTGGGTTTTGTGACCTTTGAAAATGAACAGCAAGTTAAGAGTGCTGCGGTACGTAGGCCTTTTGTTTTTGAAGTTTGTTTGGATTGCCCCAGAACATTTAGGCTCTCTTTAGTAGTGCACTGCTGTTATTCCACTACTCAATATAATGAGTAGCTTTTTACGTGCTTAATCTTATGAAATGTTACCAAAGGCTTTTCCTTTCAGAAATTTCAGCAGATCCATCCGAAATATTTTCATCTGAAGTATACTGATGATTGAGGGAACTATATTTGATTAATCCAAAATATTTTCATTAATGTAAATGTGGCAGGAGTTAGATGGAAAATGTGTTGGCAACAAGACTTTGAAGGTTGCTGATGTGATTCGTAGGCCATTTGAAAAGGAAAACAAAGCGGTTGTTTCTGCATCCCAAAGCAACCAACAAGTGGTAAACCCTGATAATACTCAGTTAGCCGAAAAATTGTTGAAAAGCTATTCTGCGGCAAAGGACAGAACCACTCGCAGTGTAGTGACTCCTCTTGCTGATATGCCCTATCCTGACCAACTGGACCACAAGAAGAGCGCTTTGATTCAAACATTAAAAACACTTGTCTGAATCTCTTTTATTTCAACATCTTTGCTTTTGAGAATATAATAATATTTGTTTTTATTAAAACACGGTTTATATCCTTGGGTTTACATTTGTCCAGACTCGAAATGCACGCAAAGCGTGTCCAGCTGGTGTATTACTTCCGCAATGGATTAAGAATTCTAGAGACATAGGTGATGTGAATCCGTGGTTATGTATTTTATTTTTAAATATAAGATAACAATGGTTTCCCATAAATCCCAAATTTCTTCATATCAGGTGGTCTACCATGCAAACTGGAGAGTGTAGTGCCATCCCCAATCATTAATGGATATAGAAACAAGTGTGAGTTTTCTGTTGGTTATTCCCTGACAGGAAAACCATGTGTTGGATTTCAGCTTGGCAACTTCAGGTAGTTTTTATATTTTGATTGTAGGGGGTCATTACTGGTTATATTACTCCATATAATGGAAATTAATTTATATGATTATTTTCTCTTTTAGGGAAGGTGTGACAGCTGTTGAGGAACCTTTGGATTGCCCCAATGTCTCCAGGGTTGCTTGTAGATATGCATCTATCCTTCAAGAATATCTACAACACACATCCCTGCCTATATGGAACAGATTGAATAATTCTGGATTTTGGCGACAGCTTACGGTATATCAACTATTGAACTTTCGGTTACTGTCATAACATGAGCCCCATTTGGTAATCTACTAATCTTATTTGTTGATATATTTAAAAAGAGAAGTGTTTGGTAACATCTATTTCAGCCAAATAAGTAACTCAAGTACTCAACAGCAATAAGAGGAGTAACCCCTGATCTGGCTACCAATCTACCACTGGCTACCAAATGGAGCATATATTAAAGTCTGACTAGAGCCGTTCAATCTGTATGTCAAATGAAACAATGGACATGGTCATTATGAACCAACTTTTCACGTGTAGCTACCAGCCCGCTCCTCTATTTTTAATTTTTTATTACTATTTTGAAAAAAAAAACTTGTCTTAGATCAGAATCACAGCTTGACCATGTTTCTTTTAGGCACTTCTGAGTCAATCCGTTCATTAATAAACCCTTTAATAGCGCAGAGAGAGGTCAACCCAATCCACTCTCCTGAAAGCCTGAAACTATACCTTTCAAAGCTATGGTTAACAATAGCATCAGCAACCCTATCACAATCTCCTGAGTTATATTGGAAAATAAAAGCAGAATCAAGTATCAACCGTAGCTGTGCCCTCTCTTATTCTGGTTAGAAGAAGATTTGAATTCCAGAGCCATATCTTGTCTCCTAGTTAATGAGCTTGAACCAATGTAGAATAACCACTAGCAATAATCACTTTTTTCTCCCTTAACCGCTCTTGCATAACTGTGCACCTCTTTGAATAGTCATTGTTTTAGCTTCTAGGATTTAATCAGCTTGGATTTTCTCATCAAATGCAGTCTTTGAGATTCTTTCCCGTGGCCCGTTTATTAGGTGTGTTAGTGTGTACCTATTGAAAGCCACTGGTCAAGGCAGATGGAAATATTAGGTGATATTCTAGGTTTGGATGAATTATACCTCATTTGGTTTTAATTAAGATCCCACCTTTGCCTTTTCTATGAATGGTCGAGCCAGCAAAACATTATCACTGATTGCAGCTCCCTTCTCTGCAACCACTTTTTGGTATTCCAGATTGAATTTATTTAGGACTCTGCTGTAGTGCAGTCTTGTACTCCTGTTATTCATTGTCTCAGTGATGATGTTGTTCAGACATTATATAGACTAATTGGTCTATAGTTCTTCCAATCTCTAGGCTGCTCAGCTTTGGGAACAAGGATAGTCGTAGTGGCAGATATACCTTCAGGTATGATATTACCTCTGAAGAAATCATAACACCATCTGCCAGATCTTTTGATGAGAATAGGAAAGTAATAATCAACGGAATAAACCGTTGCCGAGAGCTAAAAGGCTGAAATCCAATTTTATTAACTGATAAGCAATAATGAACACTAACAAGGGGTTTAAATACCCTTCTAGTAGAGTATTTAGTAGAGTTAGTTGCTACCCTTACAGTAGCAACAATTTTTTTCAATGAAATTGTCTGTTTACATGGACTGCCGAAAACACTAGTATCTGATCATGACAAGATTTTTCTGAGTACTTTTTGGAAGGAATTGTTTCACTTGTCTGGAACAAAACTCACATATTCCTAAGCTTACCATCCGCAGACTGATGGTCAAACAGAGGTCGTTAATCGAACAATAGAGATGTACTTGCGGTGTATAACTGGAGAGTGGAGAGAGGCCATCAAAATGGGTGCAATGGATACCCTGGGTCGAATATTGTTACAATACCTCCTATCACACAGCACTTGGAGATACGCCATTCCGTCTGGTATATGGCCGAGAACCGCCAAGATTATTGGCCTATTCTGCAGGCCCCACACGGATTGAAGCGGTTGATAAGGAACTAACTACGCGTGATGAGCTCTTAGCCACTGCCAGAGAGCGGTTATTGTTGTCCCAACAACGCATGAAGGAAGCATATGACAATCATCACCGGGACCTCCAATTTAATGTCGGTGATTGGGTGTGGCTGCGCTTGCAACCATATCGACAATTAATGGTGGGTCGCTCCAAGCAACATAAACTGTTCCCAGATTTTTTCGGGCCATTTAAAGTATTAGCAAGGATGGGCAGTGTGGCATATCAGTAAGAATTGCCATCAGAGAGTAAGATTCACAACACTTTCCATGTCTCTTTATTAAAGCCTCATCAAGGGAGCATTCCACTGGCTCAGGCCTGCTACCACCACTAAAGGATGGCAAAACACTGCCTCTACCAGCCAATGTTCTTCGTGTACGTATAAATAGATGTGAGAAGGATCTATTAGTACAATGGTGATAGAGATGCACAGGTTCGTAAAAGTAAATCACTAAGAAAATCAAGCTAATCTATAGAGAATTAAGCTCAAGAACAATCTGCAACTTTATTTCAATATGGTAAACCGTATACAAGTCCCAAAAGAAAGAGATATGATAGGAACCCAGCTAGTTTACTTAATAAGAATAAGTTCTTTGGGCAAGTTTATTCTAGAAGGCCCAAGTAGACTAGTTAGTTATTAGTGGTTGCGGTTGTTAACTAATAACTACCCTCTCTTTGTGGAGGGATATAAATAGAATAATTCAGCTGTAGGAAGGCAGGCTTTTGGATCTCTAAACTGGGACTGGGAAAGCGGGAGTTCTATCTCCTACTTTTGGGCTTGAATATTGTTACTGTTTCTTGTTGAATAAGATTTCTACTGTTGATTTCTGATCTTTGTTCTTGTGATTAATCTGTTTGTGTGTGAATTACTGGATTATTGTTGGTGATCTGTCTGTATTTCCGAGGTATCTATCATTGGTATCAGAGACTGGCGATCGCTGGATGAGATATACGCGCGCCAAAATGGAAGGAAGAATGAACGAAGTGGAAAGAAATATGGTGGATATTGGAAGGAATCAAAGAGAAATGCACGATCAACTGGAACAAAGGATGCGTGAATTGCAGAATAATATGGTGGATAACATGGTTGAGAAATTGGCCGCGATACAGGCCTCAATGCAAGCGACAATGCAAGCGACGATGCAAGCCAATTTGGCAGAATTTCAGAAGAACTTTTCTAATCGATCGCGAAGCCATTCGCATCGATCAAATACATCGCATCACGCGAAACATCACCTGAGGCCTTAGGACGAAGGCAGTTCAGAAGGATCTGACAGTTCATCCAGTCAGTCAACTTCGTTACACAGACGCGATCATCATCGTAGCGATCAACATCAACCGCACACCGGCAGGAAGATTGATTTGCCAATCTTCAATGGAGACGATGCGGGAGGGTGGTTGTTAAGGATGAACCGCTATTTCAGACTGAATAACACGCTGGAAGAAGAGAAGATTGATGTCGCAGTCATGGCCATGGCAGATCAAGCACTGAGCTGGTTTCAGTGGTGGGAGAGGCAAGCTCAGCATCAAAATTGGGATTCATTTACTCAGGCGTTAACCAGGAGGTTTCAACCTAACTTGGTACAGGATCCGTTGGGGCAACTATTCAGCGTGGAACAAAAGGGGACTGTCCAGGATTACAGAGATCAGTTTGAGAAGGCTATATCCTCTCATGCTCATTTGACGGAAGAGGTGTTGAAAGGGGTGTTTTTAAAGGGTTTAAAGCGGGATATACGAGCTGAATTGAAATTACACAAGGCTAGAACTTTGGCAGAAGTGATGGATATGGTGACTCTCATTGAGAACAGGAACACTGAAGCTATGTTCATGAAAAACAATTAGGAAGGCAAGAAGAAGGGACAGAGCAAGTATAGTAGCCAAAGTGTTAGTCAAAACTGGGGGGATAGTGGCAAATGGAAGAGTTCCACAGTATAGTCTCCTATTGGGGGAAGATTGGCCACTGAAAATAAGGTTAACTGGGAAGCTAAGGATTCTAATATGAAGAGAATGGGTCCTAGATTATCACAAGAAGAGCTGCTTGGCAGGAGTAAAAAGGGGTTATGTTTCAAGTGCGGGGAAAAATGGGGAAGAGGGCATGTATGCGAGATGAAGAATTTTAAAATGAGGCTGGTGGAAAATTCTGAGGATGAAAAAGAGTCGGATGTAGAATATGGAGAATGAGCAGAAGATCATTTGGCTCATTCCAGTCAGATGGATCATAAGGCCATGCAGCTCTCAATTCTGAGCAAGGAGGGAATTCCAGCTATGAAAACCTTTAAAGTCAAAGGCACTTTGCAATGGCCTGGTGGAAAGGTGTTGGTGAACATCCTAATAGATAGTGGGGCCACCCACAATTTCTTATCCAGAAAATTAGTGGAAGAATGGAATATACCTTATGAACCACTTGAAGGTTACAAAGTGTAGATAGGGAATGGGAATTGCATCACCAACATGGGCAGAAGTACACAGGTGGTTATGGAGGTACAAGGGGTTGAAATTCAACAAGTTTACTATATACTAGACCTTGGGGGTATTGATGTTGTGCTGGGAATGGAATGGCTGACTGAGTTAGGGAATATGGAGGTGAATTTCAAGTAGCAGATCATCAAATGGAAGCATCAAGGCACAACCTGCACTATAAAGGGTAATCAGGGAATAGACAGGATGGAAGTTACTGTGAAAACCATGGCTCACATATTACATCAAGTTGGAGATGGATATTTGCTCTATCATGAAGGTAACTTGAAGGAACCTGAACAAAAATACAGCCAGGAAGATCAATGGGAGGTGCGGATAGCAGATTTCCCTGAAGTGTTCACCTCTACATTGAGATTTCCACCTGCCAGGGAGTGTGATCATGCTATCATTATCAAGGAAGGAGCAGAAATACCAAACCTCAGACCCTATAGGTACTCTTTTGACCAGAAGAACGAAATAGAGAAAATAATTGGAGAAATGTTGAAATCTGGGGTTATAAAAAACAGTAACAGCCCTTATAGTAGTCCCATTCTTTTAGCTAAGAAGAAGGATGGAGGTTGGCGCTTCTGTGGGGATTATAGGGCTTTAAATAAGGTCACTGTGCCTGACAAGTTCCCTATACCAGTCATAGAGGAGCTCTTAGATTAATTGGGTGGAGCCAGAATTTTTTCAAAGCTAGATCTCAAATCAGGTTACCACCAAATCAGGATGA